TAAAGAAAAAAGATGGATCTTTGCAAATATGTATGGACTATCAAGGATTCAATAAGATCATCATTAATAATAGATATCTTCTATCTTTCATTTCAATATTTCTTGATTAATTCAATCAAGCAAATATCTATATAAAAATAGAACTACAAAGAGCATATAATTTGGTATACATTAAAAAAAGAGATGAATGAAAAATTATATTTTTAACCAAGTATGGGCAATTTGAATATAATGTCATGCCTTTTGGACTCATGAATGCTTTAATTACTTTTTAATATCTAATAAATGATATCTTTCATGATTTTTTGGATGATTTCATTATCTGCTATTTAGACGAGATCTAAATCTACTCTAAGAATACAAAAGAGCATGAAATTGATGTTTATTGTGTATTATAAAAACTTAGAGATGCATGCTTATATGCCAAGTTTAAAAAGTGTATAATCCACATCACTCAAGTTGACTTCTTAGGATATATTATTTCTAAAAATGGGCTAATGATGGATCTATAGAAGGTCTAGATTATCATGGATTGAAAGATTTCAAGAACAATAAGAGATGTGCAATGCTTTTTGAATTTTGTCAATTATAATTGGATCTTCATCAAGAATTTTTTTCAAATTATAGCTCCACTTATGTATTTGACTTGTAAAAACAAACTTGAGTGGAATAAAAAAAAATTAAAACATTGTTCGATACTTTAAAAAAAAAGAATTTATTTTTGTACCAATTTTACATTGTATTGACTTCTCCGAGGTATTTTTCATAGAAATAGATGCATCAAACTTTGCCTTAGATGTAGTAATGTCATAAATAGGATCAAGTATCAAACTCCATCTAGTAGCTTTTCAATCCAAAAAAATTTAGTAATCAAGAATAATCATGAATTTATTTTCAAAATGGCATCATTAACTAGAAGGCACTTCAAGGTCAACCATCATATATACAGATTATAAGAACCTCAAGTATTTCATATCGAAATATATTTTGAATTTGTCAACCTTCTTGAAGCATGTCTTTATCAAAATTTGATTTCAAAATCATTTATTGATCCAAAAAATAATAAATTTTTTTAAATGTTCTTTCTAGATGTTTTTATCTTTCACTACAAGAAAAAGATGCATCTTTTGATTAACAAAGAATAATTTTCTTAAAGCTAGAATATTTTCACCTTCAAGCAATAAAATCAATATTGATTGTTGATTCAATCTTTATCAAGAAAATTTAATTAAATATGTCTTCTAATCCTTTTATCCATGATATTAAAAATAATACTTCTTAATTTCATGATACTTCCAAGCTTGACTTCAAAAACAACCTACTCTATTTTGAGGGATAATTATATATTTTAGCAAGTGGGACACAATTACATGTTCTTTAAAATCATTATGACTTTCCAACAGTCGAACATTTTGGATACAATAATACTTTGGAGGTAACATTAAGAGATTTTTGGTAGCCTCAAATATTGAAGGTAGTCAAAGACTTTGTACAATCATAAGATATTTGTTTAAGATTCAAAAATCCTTGCCATCAATCTTATAAACTTCTTTAACCATTATTTATTCCAAAACAACCACAATCTTTTATTTCTATGGATTTTATCATGAATCTTTCAATTTCAAGTTTGTATGATTTTATATTCGTGATAGTAGATCATTTTATCAAAATGGCATATTTTGTACTATATATAAAATATATTACAAGTAAAAAAATGGCTAAATTTTTTCTTGACAACATCTATTGCTATCATAGGTTATCCAAAGATATTATATCAGATAAGGAGATTCAATTTATATCAAGATTTTAAAAGTAGATGTAAAGTTGTCTTCAACTTTTTATCCTTAAACTGATAGATAAATAGAATAGATGAATCAAATTTTGAAGCAATATTTGAGATATATCATCAATTATCATTAAGATGATTGAAAAAATCTTTTGCCATTTATAGAGTTTATGTACAATAATTCAATACACTCTTCTATTCAATAAAAATCTTTTTACCAATTATAATTATCATCTATAATTTGATATATTTGACTTTTCAAAATTTGATAATCCTGCAACAAAAAAATTAGCAGATCATTTGTTAGAGTTACATGCAACAATGAAGGCGTAGTAAAAGAGAGCTTAAGAATGACAAAAGATCAATGAAGATGCCTATTACAAGGAACAATTATAATTCAATGTGAGTGACAAGGTATGGTTACTTTGTCATACTATCAAGACTACTTGTCCTTGTGACAAATTGTACTATTATAAGCTTGGACCTTTTCTTACTTGTGAACAAAACAATCTTGTTGCTTATCAATTATATCTACTAGAGTCTATGAAGATTTACCTCATATTTCATGTATCTCTTTTTTAGCCATATAAGATAGTGAATATCTCAAGAAAAAGACAAATACCACCTCCTTCTATAAAAGTGGATAATAATCAAGACTTTGAAGTAGAAGAAGCCTTAGATTCAAGGCAACACTAAAATAGGTTAAAATATTTTATTCATTGGCATAGATATGATATTAATAAATACACATGGGAGCTAATAAAGAATCTTGCAAATGCAGCAAAGAGATTTGAGGTTTTTCATTGACAACATCTATCAAAACCAAAATAAAGAATAACAAATCTTCACTATAAAAGAAATAAGATCCAAGAAAGATAGCATTTTATCTTTTATCTTTATTTGTAACTTTTGTGTATTTTTGACGTTAAGAAGATGGAGAATCAACAACCAATAGATTCAATTCAAGAGCTTTTATTTGTTGACTTACTAGATGAGACATTATAATTGTTATAATCTTTAAGATAATATAATCAAGATGAAGATCATCAAGAACAACATGTCTTGTCTTGAATAGATGGCAAAATATAATATGTTTAGTATCACAACCTTAGAAGAGACTTCCAATATTTGATGATTTTATTAGAGGTTAAAACAACTCTTAATGGTACTCCAAATATTTTATTTGAAAGAAGTAAAAAAAGGCCTCAACAACAACCAAATGACATGGTCTTCTTGACCTAATATAGGACATTATTGATGGCTAAGAGGACCTATCAACCATCTTCAAAGAGAACAAATATTAGAGTATGTGACAAATATAATTTATCACATATTAGATTTTTTCAACATATGAAGACTGTTCTTTGTAGAACTTGTATTTAGAAGGAGAGATAACATCACAAATATACATATTTATTCTAAATTTTACCTATATGATTAAGTAGAAGTAAAGAAAAATATATTTATTTTATAATATTTTTTAGAGAAGCTTCTGAGAAGCTTCATAGATGTTACTTTGATTTTACATATGTTTGCAGTTGATTGATAGATTAAAAAGCTAATCAAAAAGTTAAGCACTTTTTAGTAACTTACAAAATAAGTTAATTATGTGGCGTACATAGATAAAACTTGCCTTATAAGTTAAGATATGTCTCTTATAAAGTCAACATGTTTTGGATATCTTATAAGACATCACCACGTAGCTCCTAGTTAAGAGTATATATAGAAGCAAGAGTAAAGCCTTTTTTACTCTTGTTAATATCTTTTTAGTCTTTAGACTTCTTTCAAGGCTTTTTAATCTTATTGTTTTTGGCAATAGCCATCCTAGTTTATTACCATATCATCTTTGAATAATTTTCTAGTTCTTTTGAGTGACATAAGAGTATATTAAAAATTTCTTTTTTCAAGATTTATGGCCTTGGCACTTATTCTTCTTAAACCAAAATCAACCAAATAAGCCCACCTACTAATAGTTCCTCTTGAATCCTAAACATATTAGCAAGTATTCTTTTCTATCAGAATTAGCACAATAGCAACAAGAAATTTTTGATGAATTTAATTTTTACATAGTAAGTGATATCTAGAATTCCTCAAAACTTCCTTCCAAATGTCATTCAATCACATGCCAATGGATCTTTAAATTCAAGCTTAAGTCAAATAGCATTATCAATCATTTTAAAGCACAGCTTATTATAAAAGAGTTTAATCAAGTTTTAAGCCTTGACTTCACCAAAACCTTTAGCCTTATTATTTGAATTCAATATATATATATATATATATATATATATATATATATATATATATATCTTATCTTTACTCTCTATGCCTAACAAGACATTAATAATTATCAAATATATATTAACAATATCCTTCTTCATAAAGAGATTTATATATAAGTGAGTGAAAGTTTTGTATTTCTATGTCTTAGAATAGTATCTAAATCACACAAATTCTTATATAGATTGAAACAATCCCTAAGGAAATAGTACAAAGTAATTAACACTTTTTTTAGTTCTCTTTGCTTTATCAATTCTGTTACAAAATGATAATATATATTATCTTCTCAATGTATCTTTCTTTGTCATTCTTACCTTCAACATAGATGATATATTAATTGCTTATAATGATCTCCCGCTCCTACAACATAATAAGAATTAGCTTCATAATTGCTTCTTCTTCTTAAAACTTAATAAAGCATACTACTTGCTCAATCTTCATATTACTTGGAACATTGCTAAAAGATAGTTGCAAATAACCTAAACTTTGTACATCAAGCAAAAGTTCATGGAGTTTGGATTCTACAAAGCTTGACCGGTTTTAATACCTTATGTCCCAAGTATTTATTTCTTTGTTGCAAACTACCCCTCCAATAATAAAGTCTACTACTTTTATATTAACAACCGTCTATTTAATCTCAACTTCTTTTATATTAATATTTTTGGCTCCTTCAATTAGGCACACTTGTATTCCTAATTCAACTTAGCATTCATGATTAGTTTACTTGTCCAATATATGCACAATCCAAGTTTGGCCCACATCACTGCCTACAAATATATATTTTGTTACATTCTAGGCACACTTGATTATCACATCAAATATTGCTAAAATCCTAATATAAAACTACTTTTTGGCTTCAATAATTCACATTGAACCAAAGACATCAACAAGCTATAATCAAACTCAAGATATAGCTACATCATGTCTCATGAAGCAATAAGTTGAAGATTGTCATGCCAAAAATTGATTGCCCTATCAAGCACAAAAGTAGAGTACATGGTTGTGGCCATCGCCACCTCCTAGGTAGTATGGCTTCATCTTTTTATGATTTATATCAAGACCTTAATGCTTTACCAATAATTCTTTGTGACAATCTATCGGCATTGGCACTCGTCAACACCACACCAAGTTTCACAACCAAACTGAACATATAGTCATGAAATATCATTTCATTTGGCAACTGTCTGCCCTCAAGAAGTTCTCCTTCCAGTATTGTCCTACTGCAACAATGCGTACAGACCTTCTCACCAAAGCACTCTTTGGTCTGAAATAACTCAACACTTACCATCACTGGGTATTGTTGGAAATGAACCATGATCGACTATGCGTAACAACTAAGCAAATGTGTTAGAATAAATAGAGAATGTTATAATTAGTTGTCATGCATAACTATAATAGATCTAGAACAGTTGTGCCTTCTTGCACCTCCTCAAGGAGTTACTACCAGTGAGGTCGTCCTCCTCGAAGAATATATTTTGTATTATACTTAGCAATTATTAGTAAGAAAATTTTAAACATCAAACTCAATGTTATTCTTCTCATTTTTATACCATCTGAATTGTTGCAGTGGACATTTCGAGGGTTATTTAACCGCCTGCAAAGTAATACTAGCAGGTTATTGGTGGTCCATCTTGTTTAAACCCAAACCCATAGCTTTCCCAGACTGTGTAACTCTTGTCAACGAGTAAGCAAGCCAACAAGGTCTTAGGCCATGCCAATTCTGGCTCTTACACCTTTCGAAAAGTGGGGCATCGATTTTGTCAGACCACTGGCACCACCCTCGCGGCCTGTACACAAACGCTACATATTCTTAGTCACCGATTATGTTCAGCACCATAGCTATATGATTCCACAGCAACAAATGAAATACTGCACAAAGTTGTTTGATCTTCGAACAGTCTAAAGAGAAATTTGGAACCAACCAGGTATACAACAAGCGACGGCCATGCATTACAGAACAAACAGAATGCGTACAAGCCAGCATGATTTCCATCAAGATACACTAACATTTGAATACATCTTTTCAAAGCCATATGAGCCCATTCGGACTTGCAAGTGCTCGGGAATGGATGACTAATAACCGTGGTCGTACTACAGATCTTCATGGCTGGCAGGAAGGGCAGCGATATCTCACTGCAAGCGTTAAGTCAAGCCAAGAGACAAAGAACACGAGACCAAACATTGTTCATACATGAATTAGTATCTATTCGAACTGAAAGGCAATAGTGCACCACGACAATCATTAACTTCGGATCTTACTTGATTTTTCCAACATGCATCGTCAAGAAGACGGAATAGTCAAAACTGTCTGAAGCACGTGACCACCTGCTTTTGCATTTCAGGTATACATTTTTCTGGGCCAAAGCACGTTCATCTCCAATCACATTTCATTGCATTGCTTCTGGATATAATTGAAAAAATTGAGTATTAGTTCATGTCTTAATGATGGGAGGGCACGGACGTGAAGTTTAGCCAACTCAACGGTACCGCACTCATACTTCTAGTGACTCTCTGAACAGGAGAAACCTGATTTCAGCAGACAAATCCCATCAGTAATTCTTCGATTACGCGATACACATCTTAAACTAGTGGTTAAGGAGCTGGGAAGAATACAGACTATCCCACTTTTATTCACACAAGAAGACTCGATTTTAGGCGGTCGTCGAATTTGCAGACGACGCACCTAGCAAAGCATGTTGTTGACGTCTAAGAGGATCCCAAGTAAGTCTTCCTGGTGAGGATCTAAAGACGCCGTAATCAACAGGTCGAGCCCGACGCAAACAATTCAATTTTAACAGAACAACTTTTTGAATCGTTCAAGCATTGAAAGCCAGTCAGGAAACAGCCACTCGTTCGGTCCACTCCTTGGCGATCACGTCTTGATCTTTCCGTGGCTTCCACATATTACTTTACCAACCTCAAAGGCCAATGTGACAAGACAGTTTACAGAGTCCTTGTCTGCTGACCTGAGGAGACGCGCGACCAGGCAGCGCCATCCTAACAACACCCCACCACCATGGCTAACCAGCTTGTGCACACCACCGCCAGGGGGTTCCTCGGGCCAACGGTTCTCCTTCCAAAATCAGAGGCCATCGCAATCAGTCCAGAACTGAAGATGGGGGTGAGGTGTGGAACAGCTTCACGACGATGGACTGAATATTGAATGTCGCGCTGGAATCACGGCTCGGTGCAGCCGCGGCACCCACTTGCTGCAAGGGCGTGGGCCTGGCGATGCCTCCACCCATCTCTACCAATCTCCACCACGACACCCTTATGTTGTCAGAGCGTCTCATGGACGGCGCCAGAAGTGAAGTGCCCTCCCATACTCGATTGCGCATCCCGGTTTCGAATGCATCCGTACGCTGCAGTGTTCGGCGAAAAGCGTTGGTGCGGGTGTGCTAAACTCCGGAGAACCTGATCCCTCCGACCAGTTGCATCCCTGATGGAAAACCGCGATGCTGATGAGCATCGTAATCCATGTGCGAAGGGAATCTCGCAATCTGTGCACGGTTACTTTGTCTAGAAACGCGTCACCCTTTACGAGGCGGATCGGACGCTGATCTCTTCCTTGGCTCCCTCGGTTTAAACTGTGATTGCAATGTGAATTTTCATTCACAAAAGACAAAGTGGAAATAAATAAATAAATATGTGACCATGGCAGGTGGAATTTAGTTGCTGGATTTATTTATTTTTTTATCGAAATGCGGTTTGGCTGTTTCCAAAAGGATATTCAGAATGCGAAGGATTCCATGTGAATAAATACTGTATTTTGTGTGATTGAGTAAAAGGTTCAACAGTAATGAATTGATTGATGATAACCAATTTATTGCACTGTTTGTTATTTCTGCATGGATAGTAAGAAGCTTGAGTTTACTGAAGTTTAAAAAATCTATCAGTCATAGTACTTCTCAATTTCACGAGCAATACTTGAATCCTGTGCCAAGTCAAATCTCTTCAAAACACCAAGCAAAAAATTATTTTCTTTGAGTAACCCAAGTTGCAAAAATTGAAGATCTGGTCAGCAATAGAACATTCATTAATTCTCATATGTAGATATGCATACATACATACATACATACATACATACATATGTGTATGTGTGTATATATATATATATAGTATGACATATTACACAATGTGAGTTTTACTACTATACATGTAGATTCTTTCCATCCACATATTAACATACTATTAGTGTTTCTAAATGACATTTGTGCTTAAATTAGTATTGTTATTATTTTGTGGATGGATAAATTATATGTTATTCAGATGATTTGATGATGGTAAAATTGCAGGAATGTGGACTGTAAATGATTTGATCACAGGTGATGGACTTCACAAGGATCCATCCATGTGTCTGCTGTGCATCATGTGTTGCACAAGAGGCCTTATTGGTTGGCCCCTAAAACTAATACCATAATTTGGACTTGTGCCCCAACAATTGAACACTGTTAATCATTTTTCTGGGCAAACAATAAAGATGTGTCACTCCCCAATCTATTTGAAAATGCTCATTGAACAAGCTTTTCAACATTGGAGTCCTCAAGGAGAACCTTTCACAAAAATTCACTAATATATATATATGTATGTATGTATGTATGTATGTATGTATGTATAAATGTATGTGTGTGTATATATATGTTTTATTATTTATTGGAAAAAGTCAAAGTATTTCAAGTGTCCCTATATACACATGTGATCATTGTATTTAGCACCATTGAAATCGGTTCTATGTGTATGTCAAGGATGAGATAATGAAAAATTACAAGATGTTTGAAGCATTTCAATCATTTCCAGTTCTTTCCATATTCTTTGAGGAAATAGTCAAATACATGCTTGTTACATTATTTTGGATCATGAACACCTTCATGAAAGATCATTAGAACCAACACATGACATGATAAAAAGGAATCAAACTTATTGTGGCATAAGTCACTTTTGAGGGCCACTTCATCCTTTACTTGTTATTCTTTCCATCTTTCACTCGCTATTTCTGTGGTGCATTACACCCATGGTTGTCAATTTCCTAAGCTTTAGTATGAACAGAGCTTGTCAAAGTTATAAAGTTTGTCCAAAACGAAAATGCCTTGCCTCTCAATCTTAGCACAACCTGCACATGACCCCATTAAGTATTTCAAAATGTATAAAGGAATCCATGTGTCAGAAGCAATCTCACTCTCCCCCCTCTTTTGTTAACCTCATGAAACATGACTTGCCCAACCTTTAAGTGAGGCATTGATGGTTTTGAGCTTCCTGGAGGCCACAGGCATTCTATTCTTCCATGCATTGTCTTCAATGGAGTATGACAAACAACTAAACAACTACCAACAAAAAAAAATATACATAAATCCAATCCATAGGTGTGAAAATTTTATATTTTAAAATAGGTATGGAAATTAACAACGTGAGGTGAAACAAAATTACCAATATTACCCAACTGGGTTGAGCCAATGGGATCAGAGAACTGAGTTCCCTCGTGAAAGGAACCAGTAAATCTTATGGCCAGGTCAGCACCGTTCCCCGCGATGGGCATGCGGTGTTCCCATGAGGCTCACCCACCGCCGCCCATTGGCAACGCGCCACCTGAGTAGTCGTCGACTCATTCATTGTGCTCAGGTGGCACATTCAAGGCTCGTGCCCAAAATAGAGAGGATTGCGCGGGAATCGGAGCCTCGTCCAGCTTTGTCTAGCCTCTCGGGTGCGCATCTTATGTTCACACCTCGCACGACTCTCCCTTTGGAAGCGTCCACGGTGACCGGTCCCCGCGATTGCTTTTGTCTTTTCTTTACAGCTGATTATTGTGACGTTTTCCTTGCTTTTCTCGTTCTTTCCATTTCATTTCCTCTCACGCCACGAGGTCTTGGGTTCTGTTCCCACAGCGTTTCTCAAGGTGCGGAATCGAAGGAGCAAACAAGTGTAACTTACATGAAGGAACATTTTATGGAATTCGCACAGGCTTTCATTTTTTTCAGATCATTGTGTTATATTCTCTTCAATTCTCCGCAGTCTCAATCATTGGCATTTTTCAAGCATAGTGCAGATAAAAAATACATAAAAATAAATAAAAACCAAAATTTGAAATTGTAGTTGAGTTCCGTACAACGAAATCCTCATTTTAGGTTGCAAAATTGACCACACACACATTTTATAAAGGTAATACTGACGATACTAATAATAATGAAAATAGTATGTATTTTATATATGCGTACCAAAACCTTTTTTTTTATAAATATATGATTGATTAAAATTTAATGGGTAGGAAGAATCTCAAATTGACAACCCTTGTTTACAAACAGCCATCCCTTAATTCCATTAACTGAACATTAATTTGTGTTTTATTATTGTGTGTGCAGATAATATATATACATGCATACAATCTCACTAATTTTTATCTTTTTCTTGCCCATTTACTTACTTTCTTTTATTTTCTTCTATGTTTTATCCTTTACCTTTTTTCCTTTTTTTTTTTGTTTGTCAAGGTTGGAGACATGGAAATATGGGCAACCAGAAATTTTGAACTTGAAATGCAGAGGATATGAGGGCACTTTCAATGATGCCAATTAGGCACAGAAAATAGGTTGAGCTGAGGTGATGGTTTGAAAACTGGTCCCCCCCCCCCCAATGACACATGACTTGGAATTTTTTTGAAATTTGAATTCCCCAATGACACATGACTGGACATTGGAAGCAGGTCCATATATGCCACAAAAAGATTTAGCTATGTACCATACATTTTGTAACTGGGAGAGGAAAAAAAGAGCCAAAAAGTAAAGCCAAAGATAAGGAAACATAAAGAAAGGATGGACTGGGAAAAAAGACAAACGTGTTGCATTGCTCCATCCCTCAAACTGTCCTTCAAATGCCTTTCATTACACAATACATGACTGCAAAGGTTTGAATATTCAAAAAAATGATAAAATAAAATGTTTGAATGAAACAACTCTTGCTGCCAAGTCAAACTTATTATTATGTGGCATTTAGCAAGGATCTTGCAAGGGTTTTCACAACTTTTGACTACATCAAACATTCCATGGAAATTAAATAATCATAAGTACTAAGACTCAAGATTCTTTCTAGAATTGTTGGGTGTTTAGATTGCATATAAAAACAAGCATGCTAGAATTTGAATCATCATACAAATAGAATGGGAGCATCCTTATTTTTTTGAATCTTGTCCTAATGTATATTGAACTTCTATTATTTCAAGAAAGATAAATTTACCATGAATTAACTTTCTATCACTATAAAAACACTTGTACGACAGGGCATACACACACACAGACACACTCACACACACATGTGTTTATGTATGTATCTATATATGTTTTCTTTTGTTCCAAATTTTGATGATCAAAAGGTTGTTGTTTAAAAGAGTAATGTGTTGCTAGTGCAATGTCATTGTCAAATCAGCATTTAACACAAAAAAGTTGTATCATAATGAATAGGTGAAAAATTGAAGCTGCAAATGAACATGCAAAACTCTGATATCAACTTTTTTTCATTTATTTTTACTGTTTGAAACCTGCATCAGGAGTAAATGAGATTAAGAAAAACCCATAACTGGTTTGAGGTCAATAAAATTATGTTTTAAGACCACACCTTCTAAAGAAATCCCTCAAAAGCCTCCACCTTTTTCTTAACCCCATAATGACCACAGTTACTATGGCTGGCCCTACAAGCTGCTCAAATGGTGAAAAGAGCCTGCTCAGTGGCAAACACACCAGAACTGCTCATCTTTGTAGCCATGCTGGGAACAGATTGGAAGTTGACCACCTCATGACCCACCATGGAATAAAGAGATAGTTGCAAACAAAACAACCGAGTGTATCAGATGAATGCCTCAAAATTTCATCTTTCATGGTGTTGTTCAAGTTTTAAGATACAATCCACTGACAAAACAAAAAAGAAACCAGTGATTTGAAATTTGGGGGTTGTTAGGGTTTGGTCCCTTGCATGTTCTGCCTGGAATCCAAAGAGAGTTGAGCCTACAATGGATGGTATGGAGAATTACATATAACTTTAAAAAAACAAAACACACTTAGCATTGTATTGTAGAGCGTCCTGTAATCTCCTCTTCACAATCCAGGGGACCATGCCACGTCAGCTCCACGTAGGAATGAGATTGGTTTTGCTTTCCAAGTGCGCACGATGGATTTTATCTTTAGAATGTTTTCGGTGGAGGGCGACCCGGGGGAGGGGGGGGGGGTGGGGAGAACCGCGCAATTCACCGTGGGTTCCATGCGAGCCGCGGTTACGGGACCAAAGCGTGTAAAGCCATAATGGCAAGTGGCAGGAGATAGGCCTTGGACTTACTTGCCATGCCCAAGTCTTCGAGTAACGCTGCCGCTTCTTCTTCGCTTTGCTTCTGCCATCTCTCTCGCCCGGCTTTGCAACTCCGTTTGCTTCGAAGCTTGCCTCAGCTCGTCGTGTGGATTTCTCTCGAGTAGTTCCGAGAGCGTCAGTTCCTTCTATAGCGGTAGAACCAGATGTTCTTTTGGCAACAGCACGCGAAACAATCGGGGCGTGTCTGAGGGCAGTTAACGGCGGATAGGGATGCAAAGGAATATGTTGCAGAATGTGGGAGGGAGATTTGGCGGCGATTTAGGGTGGTGCTCGTGGCTGTGTGTTTGTTGTACTTGTCTTTGGCATAGCTTGGCATGGTAAACAGCGTCGATGGACGCTCAAATTTGGTGCGGAAGAGCAGCGAGGGTTTGAAAGGAAGTGAATCTTGGGGCTGGATTCGGATCACCTATTATGGTGCAGCGTCGGAGCTATAGCATACGCTCAATGCTGTGAAATTTGTTGCTGGTTGTAGTTATAAGGTTGAGACAGTGGTGCGCGCATATTTGTGAACAAAAGCGTGGATACTGCTCTAGCTTTTGGATTTCGCTTACACCAGTGCAGATACCAGAGGCGTGTGTGCGTGTGGCACGCCTAAATATGTCACATCGAAGGTTCTAAAGGCTTGATGCCGATGCAGATCTCTGGAAAGGACAGCACCGCGTACGGGCACCGAATCCCTTATTCTTTTCTCACAAGTTGATTTTGCGGGCCATCGGAGCTTGAAGCAGGAGCATATTGTGTTGGAAGATTGGAAAACCCTAGAGGGTTGCAGTTTGATGAGCGGAGAACGAGGGTGACCCACTTTTGAAAATGTTTCTGCAGAAATTCGTCGGGGTTATTTACTCCCGGACATGATGGTTCGTTGTGGGAGATCGTGATCGAGTTTTGGTTGTCGTGGTTGGGGAGTTTGTGATTGCGCGTGAAGTGTGAAGGTAGCGGTGCGGAGAGGATAGTAGGGTGGAGGTGCTTGCAATGAGGCATGGATGGTGGCCAACGGGTGTTTGACGGCGCGTGGTCTGCGTGGATGGCTGAGGGTGTGGGTGATTCTGGTGAAGAGAGCGTTGGAGGGAATCTGGTGTGAGGTGAGGTGGTCGGGAGGGCGGTTGCGGAGGTGGAGCATGTCGGGGCAGAGGGGGGGTGGGTCGTCAATGATGCCGCTGAAGAGCCTGATACGGGAGTTTCAGGAGATGAAGGGCGGGATAGGGAACATATCGCGGCGGAGTTTCGAGCTGAAGTTTCCGCACCACCACAAGGGGAGGTCGAGTGGGATGGTGCTGGACGAGTCGCAGCTGCGGGCGGAGCCAGTGGTGGAGCAGAGCTGCTGGGCGAACATGCCGCCGGAGCTGCTGCGGGATGTGATACAGAGAGTGGAGGCGAGCGAGAACGCGTGGCCGAGCCGGAAGCACGTGGTGGCGTGCGCAGCGGTGTGCAGCTCGTGGAGGGAGATAACGAAGGAGCTGGTGCGGACGCCGGAACAGTCAGGGCGGTTGACATTTCCGATCGCGTTGAAGCAGGTGTGTGAGAGAGAGAGGAATAGAGAGAGGAAAAAGTGTGTGAAGAGTGAGGGATGACTGTGGATATGTTGACAATGCCTTAGACAGTTTGATTGATAATCTGTTTTTTTTTTTTTTTTTTTTTTTTTTTTTTAATGCGTAGTTTTCAAGCATGTCACTAACGTCTGTCTCTGATACGCTTTTCAATTTTCTTAGCGTCGTTTTTCTTTGCCTGTTGCAGCCCGGGCCTCGAGAAAACACTGTACAATGCTTCATAAAGCGGGACAGGACTACTTCCACGTACCAGCTTTTTCTTGGTCTTCCTCCCTGTGAGTTTTCGTTCCCGTAGCTTCCCTAATGTATTTCAGGGATTGTTCTGGGTTCTTTTCTTTGATCGGAATAATCGAACGTTGCAAATGTTTCCTCGTTTGCCGAATTTGCCGAATGTGCGTCGTTTGAGTTGTCGAGTGTAGTTCTTTCCCTTGGGAAAGATTCAGTGCATCGGATAGATTGTGAATATCAGTGTAGTTTTTGCTGCTAGTCTTACTTATTTGTTTTGTGATATTCAATCATGACGGATGTGCTTGTGCGCATTGATTTGACTTAACGGGCTTTAGAATGGTGTGGACATATTGCGGATAGTATGGTTGATAAATTACGTCGTATTGTCAAACATGATAATACTCTGTCACACATCCTTAATTATAGGGCTGTAAGTAGGTCTGAGCTGCCACGTTCTGATTTTGGGTGTCAATAGTGATCTTAATTCTTACGTTCTGCACAGAAAGTGTGTGTACAGCTACTTTGTGGTGGAAAGAAGTATTTTTTTCTTACTAACTTAGATTTTGGGCGCGTTCTTGCAGCTCTTGTGGAAAATGGAAAATTTCTACTAGCGGCTCGAAAGTTTCGAAGGGCTACCAGTACTGATTATATAATTTCACTCAATCAAGAAAATATGTCTAGAGGAAGTAACACATATGTTGGGAAACTCAGGTAGTCATTCTTGTTAGCATTTGCTCCATTTTACTATTTGAATAATTTTGGAACCTTGAATTGGACTCTACACTGATCTGATAGCTGAGCTTCGATACTGTCAGAACTCGGTTTTCTTAAGAAGCCTGTCAGGACCATCCTATTTCATTTCACTGTTCACAAGTTCATTCTAGACATGGGAACGCGCACTATCAATCTCTTGACCTATGTCTCTCCTCTCAGACACAGTATGTCCTTAATTTCAGTTTCTTTCACATAGAAAAACAAGAGAACATTTGCTTGATATGTCAACGTGTGTCTTATTAACTGGTTGTGCGATTTACCCGTTTACTGGTAGATCGAATTTCCTGGGCACGAAATTCACAATCTACGACAGTCAGCCTCCCCACAGTGGTGTGGTAGCGTCCAACCGTGGCACTCGGCGTATGGGATCGAAGCAGCTGACATCACGCGTACATTGTGGGAGCTACAACGTAGCGCACATAGCCTACGAGTTGAATGTGCTGGGCACGCGAGGCCCGAGACGGATGCAGTGTACGATGCACTCAATACCAGCGTCGGCGATGGCGTCCGGAGGCAGCGCCCCGACACCAACAGAGTTCACGTCATGCGGGTTGGAGGAGGCGCACGTTCCGTACTCGAGCATACTTCTGTCTCCGCGGTCGAAAGCGGCGGTGGTGGACAGCAGCGCGTTGGAAAGCAGCGAGCTGGTATCGGGAGTGCTGTGCAAGGAGGAGCCGTTGGTGTTGAAGAACAAGGCACCGCGATGGCACGAGCAGCTGCAGTGCTGGTGCTTGAACTTTCGGGGAAGGGTGACGGTGGCGTCTGTGAAGAACTTCCAGCTGGTGGCTGCGACGACATCGTCGACGACGACGAGTACGACGGCGGGTGAGGCGGCAGCAGCAACGGGAGGTGGAGGTGGAGCAGGTGCAGCGACACCAGCACCGACGAGTTCGGGATCGGACCACGACAAGGTGCTGCTGCAGTTCGGGAAGATCGGGAAGGACATGTTTACGATGGATTACCGGTACCCTTTGAGCGCTTTTCAGGCGTTTGCAATCTGTCTGAGCAGCTTTGATACGAAGTTGGCTTGTGAATAGGGTTTTGTGGGGTGAGAGGGAAGGGTGATGCTATCAGTCTTTCCTTGATGCTTAGCTCATTTTTTCTGAAAGATTGTGTAGTTGCCACATGTGTCATTTGGTAGGTTTTCTTATTCTTGGAACACCATTTTGTTAGCCTCCATTTTGCTATTTTTCAGCTGGCAGGTTTTGACACGACGATGGTTCCTTAAAAAAGGATGTTTGGCATCGTAGGACGCAGTCTGTGACTGCTTAGCTCTGATCATGGAGTCAATCTTTACTGGCTCATTCAGTAGCGTCTTGAAATTTAGCGTTTTAGTCCTAATTCCACTCCTGGTTAGTTAAGGGTCATGTACCTTTTAGGTAGGTCTTCCAGGTAAACAGCTTGTCGCTTTCAGCTGTCTGAACTGTAAATATGTCAAAATTCTTGTGTTAAGTTTCTTGAAATTATCCTCTTTTAGTTCAGTGATCCTTTTCATGTGCATTGCATATGTAGCAATCCTTAGCATTGACACGCCAGGAAACTTCTGGCTTTAAGTTCTGACATTGTAGTAGGCCACATTGAGTGCTCTCACGAGTGATGTGTTTTTTCGCTGACATTGAAAGTAGTAAACGTATTGAGCTAATGCAATCGTACTATTCTCATTCAAGTGACTACGTTGAGGCAGCGGAGGGCACGGGATCTGAGGTGCGTGGCTTAACATTAGTAAAGCATCGTCAGGAGGGTTATCATCCATATTCATAACATACAGAACTTTTTTACAAGTGGTCTTTGATTTAAGTCACAGTTAACAAAGTAAAGTCGTAATGAGTGGGTGGAGGATTTGCATAACAAATCAACTCGTAGGATGTAACCATCATAGAGGAACGGAGACATCAAGCTGTACGAGACAGTTAGTGAACGGTTCGTGGATTGTACACACTATGAATTGGGGCAAGCTATGTTTGCATGTATTCTTGCTGGTTGAATTGTGCAAACGGCTATTCAAAGTATTTGTGAAGTTCTGAAAGTATTCCTTCTTAGGGCAGAACTCTATTGAAGTGTTTGGCGAGATCTATTCTTTTGTAGATGAAAAAAGGGTTTTTTTCTCCACATAGAATACTAATTTCAAAATGAGAAATTGGAAGGCTCTTATTTTCTCGTCGCTTTATGTTATGTTTCTACTTGATATTTTTAAATACGAAGTTTAGAGTAGCTATAATATAGTATGTGATGAATGAAAATGTTTTTGGTTTTAGGTGGCATATTTGATCAAATCTTTTTTGTGTGTATATGTATGTACACACATACCCTATAGGAGAAGTAGATAAAGAGAGGAAAAAACATTCTGAACATAAATATTTGTATAAAATTGAAGATACAAATATTATCATGCTTAAACATTGATATTATTATTACAATGATATATCATTGTACATTGTATTTTGGTGAGAGGTTTTACAAAGTCTAAATTCCAGTTCAAAAATAAATATATTAGTAGAGAACATACATACATTGACATACAAAGAAAAACTTAGAAAGTTGTTAAAATATCGTGACACACAGTAAACCAACAATATCTCATATTGCAGACTTTGCAAAAGATTATGTCCTAAGTAAAGCAAACTAATATATTTTGTGGGGTGAAAATGTACATGGCTTCTGTAGAACTACCCCTAGACTTGTACTACATAGATGACCAACACTTATAAAATATTATGAATGGGTAACATATGGACATAGCTTTTTCTTGCATATCTACATTAAAGTGTCAAATACACTATGGGTGGTGCACTGCTTTTGCAAGTATATGAATTCTATGACCATCAAGTTAAATATTAGTTTATTACACTAAGAAATAAAGGGATTATATACATATTATTCAATGTTATGAACTTATACTACAGACGTTTTCTATTTACAACATCGAGACATAATAATAGTTTTTCAGAATTATGCAATTACATTAATGTATACATTATTACCAAGCCTTTCTGATATAGGATGTTGTTATACTTGTCCTATACTAAGTAATATAAAATAGAAGAAATCCACTAATAAAAGACATGAACAACATTATTGGAAATTAGTGCATTTAAATTTGGTAAATCAAAATAGAGCAAAATAAAGTTTATTTCCTCTCATAGTGAAAATGTGTGACTACTTTTTGAAGTGAATGGTATTGTTTGAAGTGCAGCATTGCGTAAGTCAATTGCTTTGTCCTCTTCATTGAGAGACTTCTAGCCCATTGGCTACCATGCTGATTTTAAGATTGCTAGGTAATGCTTTAAACTTTCAAAAATACTTTGTTCAAAATAAACATCTATTACACTTTGTGAAAAGAATGTTAAGAAAACATAGGAAGATTATTTTTTATGCCATCCAACATCATTATATTCTTAGAAATTCATAGGATGTTCCTCTGTCATGTGCTTGTGGATGTTGCTTGGGTGAAATGACTTGAACCAATGTTGAAAATTGGTTGTTATTTTGTTTTTTGTTTCCTGTTTCTGCAGCACTCTACTATTAGCTCCTTTGCTTTCTCAACCAAATGATTTTCAAAAACAACAAATGTATAATTCTACAATTGATGTGACTTCATTTTGGAAAGTAACTTAAAGGCCAAACAACTCTAAGTATGTATTTTGATAAGAAAAGATGCATTGTAGGACCCATTGATAACAGTTCTTGCTCAAAAGTAAAACAAAATATATCATGCTTGTACAGCCCCCAAACTCAATTTCTATAAGAATTGCAGTTTTTTTTAAATAACAATATTAGAAAACTTTTATTATTATTTAAGAACAAATGTTTTGTATGAAGTGTATTATTCTGAATTAAAAAGGTCCAATTATTACATAAAACAATAATTTCAAGAATTGAAATGATTTTTAAAACTATAATATTCTTTTTGAAGGTGATAAAGATGTCCTAAATTATAAAAATCTATAAAGTGAAGATTTTATATTTATGAGTTTATGTTCAATTTATTATTAAAATATGCTTTTTATTCTATGTATAAATCAAGAATTTTAAATTAATATTTTATAAATAAAATATAATAAACAAAATATGCTTAAATTAATATTGTTTAAATATTAAACAAACAAAATTAATTTAAAATAATTGATAAATTTAAACCTGCAACTAAAAAAACACCTTTAAAATTCAATAAATTATGAAGTCTCATTCATGAGTCATATCCAATAAAAAGAACCTAAAAAAAAAAAAAAAAAAAAAAAAAAAAAACTTGTAAAAAAAAATAATAATTTATTTTGATTAAAATCATCACAATAAAAACTTAATATCTACACTTAAATAATTTTTAATGTTATGTTCAAAATTCTTTAGACTACTCTAGTTCTACTCATAAAACATTTAAAAAAAGAAAAAACAGAAATCTTAAAATGCATCAAATTTTAAAAAAGGATTGAAGTGAATATAATGAATTTCGAATATAAAAAAATTAAAAAAAAAAAATCCTAATTTTACATGTTTTGCTTCAAAAACATGCTAAATGCTACAACAATATAAGAAAAAAGTTCGATTTGGCAGCCCAATATTTAACTATGATATTGACCCAAAAATAGAATAAATCAAATTATAAGTATTTTATATTTTTGGCAATCAAATAAGAAAAATGACTTCTATAGTTTTAAAGAAAATTTATCTATTTTTATTAAAACAATGTGGAACTTGTTTTTCATAAAGTATTTGTTATCTTTCTTTCAACCACCACCCATTCTTAAAGCAAGGAAAGGAAAAAACACACAACAGAAAAAGAAAGAGACATATAATTAGCTAATTGTATGCAAGGAGGTTTTGTGGGATGTAGCAATATAAATTAGAGATGTAACACCAACAATTTCCTAAATATATCTCAATATCATTAAAAGACATAAACATTATAATTCTTAACTGTTGCCATTGATGTTTTCCACCTTGGTGCTTGTAACAATGATGATTGTGCTTGATTGTAATTTAGCATGATAAACTTTACAATATTACATTAGACTATTGTATAATTATTTATGGTATATTTTTTAAATATATTTAATTACAATATATGGTCATATTAAACTTATTCAAAACTCATGAAGTGATATTGTATACCAAGGCATTGGTAAAGACACACAAATATGAACAATTTGTAGAAAGTGAAAAGTACCTTGCCCTCATCGTTATTCCCGCTTCTTGTTCCCGAATGCATCGAAGGTTCACAAGAGCTCTTGCAGACATAGTGTGCCTGCGCGGCTGATTCTTGCTGGCACATTGGTTTTTGGGTTTGGTGCCTCTAAGGTTTAAGAGGTTAGTCAACTTGTATACTCTGACTTCGATCTTGCAAATAGTTTGAACATGCTTAGGAGCCTCTTAGCAATGGCCGACGATTACAAAAATGGGTACTGTTGCAATCTGCGTGCTATTTCCTCCACTTGGATTTACTCACCAAATTATGGACCTTTTTATTCTTGAATATATTCATAAGTAGATTTGGCCGTTAGTTGCTTATTGCATTGGACTGTGCACGAGAGTGGATGATGCCCAGTGGAAATTTGAAAAGAGCCGCATGGAAGCGTGGAGGAGCAGTTACGAGGAGTAGAAAGAGCGCATACGAAGCGTGGACGAGGAGATTCTTTCTTTTTTCGTGTTCGTCAGGGCATTTTTGGACCTGGTCGTCCACGTTTCGTATGCGCTGTTCTATTCCTGATATTATCTTCGAGAAAGGGAAGCACAACTTGGAGATTAGAGAACCCAACGGCTGCAATGGCGAGGTCATTTCTAGCAATGTCATTGAGTGCTGCATCTACTCATCATCTTTGTTAGTCATGTGCTTGGGAGTTGCTGGATTGTTGAGCAAGGGTGCATGCCACGGTCATTGCAGTAGGGTTGGTGTAGGCTTGGATAGTCCACTTCATTGACTTGCATTGTTTCCATAGCCGGTTATATATTGTTAGGCTAGGCGATATAGGTCACGATTTTTCTTTTGTTTTTATATGGGTTGCTTGGGGAGTATTCTTCACTAAGGTTGTTCTTGCACCCTGCTTGACCATTCTGGGTTTGATAATGTGTGTGAAGGTGTGTGTATGAGAATGTTATAGAGAAAATAGTCTGCTGTATTTTATTTGCCATGACATCGCGAAAGTATTGTGGTTCTGCTAACATATTAAATATATGCTCCCTAGTCCCATTTATGATGACAGACCTTGAGAGGGTTGCCATTGTGTGTGAATAGGTGTTTCAATCTCTTTACATTCAAAACTATGTCAACATCAACTTTTGTCATATACGGTTTTGTGGGTGCAAATGTCGGAACTAGACATGACTGGCTGGTGCGGGAGGTGATGGTGCTGGATGATCTTCCAGGGCCTCGCTCATACCCAGGCTAATCGATGATGCCTGGTGGAAATTTGGAGAGCCGCTTGGAAGCGTGGACGAGCAGTTATGAGGAGTAGAAAGAGCGCATATGAAGCGTGGACGAGGAGAT